TCAGCGGGAAGCCTGCTTCTCCCTCTCCCACTCCCCCTGCTGGTGTTCCCCCTCTCGCTGTGTTTCTGTCAAATGAATAAATAAAATCTTAAAAAAAAAAAACCCACAACTCAATAGAATTAGTATCCGTGATGGGATTTTTCTTTCAGGAGTTGAAATTTGTTCTGCCACTGACCGATTTTAAAAATGGAATTTTTATAACCAAATGCGTTGAGAGTACAGCAATGCTTCCGTTGTTCAAAGCGTTTCTTAGATTACTATTTATGTAGCATCAATGCCTATTTCCAAGAAAATGAGCCCCACAAAATTACAGCCGCACCTTGTACTTCTGGTAGACTTAACTGGTTCCTTAGATTGAAATGTTATGGGGATTAAAACCGAGGTGAGATGAGACAAAAGCTTGTTTTCCAACGTGTGAAAAGTATACCTCGCAAACCAAGAGAGAAAGCATACTCAGCACGCGTCGTCGGAGCCGGGCCTTACTGAGTAGTGTGACCCTCTCCCACGGTGCGTGGCTGAGCCTCCAGTGAGCTCCCGGAAGCTGACGTGGGACAGAGCCAGAGGACTCACTGTAGCGCGGCACCCACGGGACCCTCAATTTGTACCGCCGGGATAAAGTACAGAAGTGTCTCAGTTCCCAGATCGGGTCCCACCTTACCCCCATGCCTCGCCACTTCACAGTCCCAGACGGGAAATACACCTTAGGGTGGATGTCAAAAGGAGGGAGCCAACCGTGCCCCCCCCCCCACCGGAGAGATGAACAGTGACTCTTACGGACATTAGGGGCCACAGCTTTGACTTTACAAAGGCCTCTTCAATAAGCATGGGAACTGTGCTTCAGAGAACCGCATCCTGCTGAACAGAACTGCGGGCCAGGCTGATGGCTCAGCTCAGCTCGGAGGCTGTTCTCCACGCGCCGCTTCATCCACCGTGTGGCTTTCTCACCTCAGATGTGCACTTCTATTCTAGGAATACAGATATCACGAGGAGGGAGTACAGGAGAGAGGGGGAACCAAGCACCCTCTTGACCTAAAACCTGGGCGCTCCTTTCTGGATCCCTCAAAGGTCCCGGCTTGCTGCGTGGAGGGAGGCCCGGGCCTGGGAGGGGCAGCAGTGAGGCCATGAGGCCGGGCTCTCCCTGCGCTCTGCCCGGACTCGCCCCCTCTCCCGCACCAGGGCCGCCAAGCAGCCGCGGCCTCCTCCCCCCTGCCGAGGCCCGGTCTGTAAACAGCCTGTAGGCGGCAGGTGCACACGGGGAGGCCGAGGCCTGGTCTGTAAGCACGGCCTGTAGGCGGCGGGTGCACACTGGAGGCCGAGGCCCGAGCAGGTCTGGCTGGGCAGCGGGGGCCGCGGGGACGAGGCACACCCGACAGGGGCAGCGGCCCCGCCTGCCACGGGCGGCAGATGTTCACAGCTCCTGCCGGGCCCCAGACGTGATGGAGGCGGCGGAGGCCAGGCCTGCGGACTTTCTGGTGAGGCCAGAAGTGCGCTTAAACACCTGCGCCGGGAAAAGACATCGCGGCAGGGCGGCGGGCGCATCCCGGGGCTCCCCGTCTCCTGGAATTCCAGGGCCCAGAGCGAGCCGTGTGGCTTCCGGGACAAGTGCCCCAGGGCTCCGGGCACTGCAGTCAAAGCGGGAAGGAGGTGAAGCGGCCTCGTCGGCCCCGGACTCCGGGCCCAGGTCAAGCAGCAGCCTGAGAGGAGCAGGGCCCGTGCGACCACAAGGGGACTTGGGAAAGGCAAGCAGTGGTGGCGTCGCAGGTGCTTCCTTTCTTTCGTTAGGAAATGTTTTAGAATAACCTAAAAGTTTCCTAAGCCAGGTTCTATGTGGGGTAGAAATGTATGTAGCGGGTTATTTTCCCATGATGCTATAGTTAAGAGTCAGGAAAAAGGTTAACCAGCTCCCTTTTATCAACCATGACGTGCGGGGGGAGGATCTCTCAACCACTGAAACTGTGACCCAGGACACCAGACGAGGGCGGCCGTGTTGGGGACAGTCCCGTGTGAAAGTCTGGGTCTGAGGTTTTCAGACGTGCTCTTTTGCTCTGACCCGGTTCCGCGACCTTGCGCGCGTCTCGTAAGCGCTCTGTGACCGAGGCCGCCGGACCTGAGGGCCTCCGACGTCTTTCCCGCTTCAGAATTCTATCTCGGAAGACACTTTCTCAAGCCCATGATTAAAAGAAGCTTATGTTACACTATTTCTCTTTGTTGGCGAAGAAGAAACAGATGTTCCCCAGAGATCGTTTTCTGGGCCCTTACGGCCGCTTCACTGGTAGGAAGCCTGCGGATGACCGCGGCAGGCCGGCTCCACCGCAATGCCTCCCGCCGCGGCCGCCTTCACAAGTAACAACAGGCCAAAGACGACGGGCCAAGGCTTTTGCCTAAATTACCAACCTTTACTTCCGTAACCATCCAAGCACGCCCCAAGTTTAAATTATACACGTTTATGTCAATTCAAATTTTCACAGATTAAAAGATTGCATTTTATTAGAATCAATTTACAGGCAGTCTGCAGCAATGATTTCTCACGGGCAAAAAAAGAGACAGACACACGGACAGTCATCACTGAGATTCTGGATGTGAATGGAAGCTCTTTCCGCAAACCAAGCACACGGAGGCAGGCCCACCGGCAGCCGGAGCTGAGTGACGACACGACGTCTCGGGTCACGGCCCACGTGCAGGCTAAGGCTCGAAGCTGCAGGGAGCAGCTGTTCTCGGCAAGGCAGGACGCGGGGGCCGCTCACGCAGCACCTCCCAGACGCGCCCCGACGTGTCCGACGGCTCGCCACGCTCGCGGGAGCCAACGGCGAGCAGAGCGGCGCGCCGAGCCAGTGCCCCTTCCCAAGGGGACGGACCCAGGCAATTCTTTAAGAAAAGGTAAGGTTCAGAAGACATGTTTGCTCCAAGGCACCAAGGGTGTAAAGCTTTCTAGAGAATACACAGAAATGAACAGCCTGAAAAAGGGAAATTAGCTCTCAGTGGAAGAATCTGCCATTACGATAACTAGTGTAAATAATTACTTCAGACAGGTCACAATCAAAACGCGCAGCGAACAGACTGTGCTGCGAGAGGGAACGTGTGACCACAGAACGTTCCCGTGGCACTTGGCGGAGCTGCTCGTACGTGCTGACGGGTTCCTCCCGGAGCCAGAGAAGCCGGGCCTCACTTGTACTTGTAATAGCCTTCTCCAGTCTTCTTGCCCAGCTTGTTCTCTGCTACCAGCTCATTCAAGGATGGGATGGGCTGAAACAAGGGGTTCTTTGCATCCATTTCATACCACCCTATTGAGAGGAGGGAAGAGGTTGAGGACGAAGCGCTGGGATGATTCGGACACCTCAGCATTCCCAGGGCAAGGCTGGGGGCACAGCTCGGGAGAAGGGTCCCCACTCTGACGGGGCAGAGGCAGGAGGCAGCTGAGCCGGCACAGCCGGACGGGCCCGAAAGCACCCGGCGGCCGCTCGCGCGCGCTCCTCCCAGGAACACGGAACCAGCCCCTCGGCCGCCGGGACCCCTCAGGGGCACCATGCCGCAACTGGTAGTCTGCATCCTCACAAGATACAGAAGTTCATGCTTCATTCAGAACCCTCCTTGCTCCCCACAAATACCTAGGTATTCTTTGTGAAACGTGGGGGCCTGAGCTACACTCAACTTCAGGAGTCCAGCTGTCATTATTATCTTTACTGTAACTTCAGAGCCACTATAGTAAAGAGATACATTATTATCTTTCAAGGGGGTAGATCTCCACGGGAGTGGAGGTTACACAAATCAGCACTTATGACGGAATGACACACGGTACCAATGTCCGATTTCAATGTGATCCTGTCCTGCAGAACCATCAGGGGAAACCAGGTAAGGGGTACACGGGACCCGGGACCACTCTGTGCTATATTTGAAACTTCCTGTGAATCTATAAATTGTTTCAAAATGAAAAGTTTTAAAAACAAGTTACCCTGTGGAGAGACACTAGGCAAGCACATTTTTCCTTTTTCTGCCATCTTTTAACTTGAATCTTTAAGCTGGTGGGGCAGAACTCTGGAAGGCCTACTAAGACCCCTTGAAATTTCGGTGGTAAACAAGCATTGTAACATGAAAGAAACAACCTCAATTCCATTACAGAAAGAGAACAGAGAAGTCCAATTCCTACCGTCCATGATGAACTTCACAGTATCCAGCCCCACGTAATCGAGAAGCTCAAATGGGCCCATGGGGTACCCAGCTCCCAGCTTCATAGCAGTGTCGATGTCCTCCTTGGATGAATCACCTGAGGACAAGAGGGCAGCACTGAGCCATCACCATCTTTCCCGTGGTTCTCCTTGTCATACTGTTAGTCCCAGAATTGAGTTTTACAAGTTCGCACATTCAAAAAACATCCAGAGTCAGGATTTCTGGCTATGGTAAGTAAGATTTCATCTCACAGGTACATGCCAAATAGACCACAAGATTTTCAAAGCTATTCCACCAAGCTATTCTGTGAGGTGAATTCTAGAGCACTGCTCCGGTGTTCACGCAGAGAGAAGGCTCCGGTGGCTGGAAACACTAGTCACTGTTGATGGATTGGGATTTTCCAACTCTGGAATAATTTATTACAACATCACTTAAAGCTAGAACATATTTGTATTGATAAATACGACTTTTTTTAAACAAAAAAGAACTAAGCTTTGTGTTTTTATATGTATCGTATGCATATTTTTCCTTTCCAGCTTTCTTGGTTTTATAAGTAATGAGTATTCCTCTGGAATTACACTCACATCAACCCTTTAGTCAAGATAAAGTTTAAAAAGAAGCCCAAATCTGATTTAAAATTGCCACTCAAGTTTTAAAGTGTGTTCATTAAATTAAGACAAGAGCCAATGTGCTTTTTTCCTGGAATTCTACCCTTCACTATTATGGTCCTTGGGCCCACAAGAAGTCTTTCAGAGAACCTGTTCCCTTTCTCCAAAATCAGGAATGGGAACAGTCTATAACAAGTGATCATCTAGAAATTTTGTTCCAAAGTATAAAGAAATGGTCAGTTACACTAAAGCTAAATAAAAGGAGAAAAAAGTTCAAATACTCAAAGAGAATTTTATACCTAAACATGTTTCAGATTTTTAGGCATGAGGAATAGGAACTACTTAAACATCCATAAAAACTATGTATATATTTTTAAGATTTATTTATTTACTTTAGAGAGAGCAAGAGTGCAGCGGCAGAGGGAGAGAGAACGCCAAGCAGACTCTGTGCTGAGCGCGGAGCCCGACGTAGGGCTCGATCTCATGACCCTGAGATCACGACCTGAGCTGAAACCAAGAGTCAGACTTTTAACCAATTGAGCTACCCAGGTGCCCCAAGACTATATTTTTAAAAAGCATAGGAAGTACAGTTGAAGGTGATTAAAATACCAACTGATTATTTCTTATAGGTGACGTTAATGCTTCACTAATTAGTCAACCAGAGGATGCTAAGAGTCACAATTTTGAGTTTTAGTCCATAAGAAAGCAAAAAGAGCAAAAATCATCATATACATCAGCTTTAGGCGGCACCCTTCCTTCATTCAACTTTTATTTATCTCTGTTCCATACCAGGCACCAGAGACTTAGAATGAGACAGAGAAAAACCAGACAAGCCCCCAGGTACTCATGATATAGTGGGAGGACTCAGATGTGTCAGCTACTGCTGAAGATTCATGAAGACTGACACGCCTGTGTGTGGGCACAGGTGGACAGATATACTCACAGTGCCAACATTTCACCAAAACCCACCGAGGCCCAGGTCCTGAAGGACGAAGAGCATCCCAAGGGATGAGAGGGCAGGAAGAGCATGCCAGGCAGAGGGAACAGCATGTGCAAAGGAGAAATGAGCAGGAACATGGCAGCTGACAAATGGATTCTGCTCAGAGGCCTTCATCTGACCCTGAGGGCTTCTATGGTGTTAGAGCCCAGAATGCTAAATGACCACCTCACTTACCCCTCTCCTGGGGTCAGCACCTGCTGCCCCCTGGGATTGGTGCCGTCCCTCCTCCAACATTTGACATTTGCTTCCTGCAGGCCTCTCTGCTCAGATGTCCCCTCATCAGAGCACCCTGCTCCCTCCCTGCATGTAAACTAGCAACTGTAAGAACTCCAGGCGAGGCCTCCCACCATCCTCTTCACTTTATCTTTCTCCAGATTACTGGTCACAACCTAACGCGGTATCTACTGGTTCATTCACTGTGGACGGCCTCCCTTCCTTAGAATATCGGCTCCTGGGGACAGAAATCTCATAGTGTAACGGTTCCAACTTACCTAAAGCCATTTAATCAAATCTCTATTCGAGGGCAAATAATGAACCCTAGGGGCAATTCTGTAATTCCAGATTCAGCGACTCACCTGAAGACTATTTTATCTCAAAAAATAATACAAAGATAAAGCATATCAAAGAAAAAAATCTAAGCAGTGTTACAAAGTCAGCAACTCTAAAAGTACAGTAATACAGAGCAAAAGAGACAAAAAGAGGGAGAATTAAAGCACACAAATTGGTGTGCCACATGGGAGTTAAATATGGAACTGTGCTTTAGACTAATAATTCCTAAACTTGTATAGAGTCAAGCACTTCACTGAGAATAGGACACCTGCCCCAAATAAACTGCACACACCAAACTTCAGGAGGTTCATGGGGCCTCCCACCTCTCCCCAGTGAAGAGCCCCTAACTCTAGACAAGACAACAATGAGAAGCTTCCTGTTGCACAGTGGGGGCCTGGGAGCAGCCGGACTTGTTTCCTAGGCTGGCTCATCAGCACCACCTACCCACCATTCTTGGCGTTAACCACAGGCCCTGGCGGCAGCCCCCTAGGTGCCTGTCCTGTAGGAGACTCTGGAGAGGATGAAGAGGAGACACTTCCCAGGCACCGCATCCAGCAGCAGAAAGACGCCCTGCCACGGGGAGGAGGGCGGCAACCACCCTGAGGGAGAGCCAAAGCGTAAAGAGAGTTATAACAACACATGGCGACCAGCTTGGAACACTGGGGACATCAGGCAGGGCCTTGTAAGGGCGGGGGGAGTGAAGTCCGTGGGAGGGCAGCAGGGGCGGAGGGCAAGTGACAGCAGCTTCCCTGGGAAGGGAACTGTATTCGGTAGTCTACGACAGAAACACCGAAGAGGCCTTGGGCAGAGGAATGACAGGGCGCAGGATGTCACACAGTGACCGGGGGGACACACGACAGGCAGGGACACTCCCAGGGCTTGCCACCCGCCCAGCCCTCCCAGAAGAGCTGCCTGGGACGTGTCGAGGGGGGACATCCGAGAGGTGTGGCGATCTGCTGCCGGGCGCCAGCCTGCTTGAAGATCTGGACAGAGAGCCGCAGGGACGAGCGGGACCAACTGCCACCAACCAGGCCGCCGCTACAGCATGAACAGATGGGAGCCGCACAGAGCGAGGACAGGACTGGGGGACTGAGAAGGCAGGCCCAAGGAAGAAGCCACGAGGCCCAGGGCATGGGAGAGCAGTGGCGAGGGGACGCCGCGGTGCCGCCAGATGCCCCGGGGAGCTGGCAAGAAGCACTGGTGCGGGGCCCCCAGGCAGCCGGGGCCCCAAGCGGTGGTGACGGAGGTGACTCTGCTCTCATGCCAACACATCCATCGGCCCGATGGGCCTCCCCCACGCAGAGCGGCGCTTCGCCGCGCACACCCCGCCGGACGGGGTTTGTGGGAGACCGAGTGCGCGCGTCCCCAGAATTCACGTTCACACCCTACCCCCCGACGTGTAGGCTTCGATGAGATCATGAGGGCGGAGCCCCACGAGGGGATGAGGGCCCTTCAGAGAGTCCGAGAGCTCCCTGTGTCCTCTCTCTGCTCCCCGCCATGCGGAAATGCGCCGCGAAGTCAGCCGCGTGCCTCCCGGAGGAGGCCCTCACCAGAGTCCCGCCATCTGGCACCCTGGCCTTGCACCTCTGCCTCCAGAACCGCGGGAAATACACCCAGTCTGTGGTGCTTGTGCTGCCCGAGATGGTGTCGTACGGACGAGCTCTCCCCGGAGAAGGAAGAGGCTGGGCAAAACAAAGTCTCAGAGTCTTCACTGCACCACTCTGCCGCCGGGCCCCGAGACCCCCCGCCACCGGGGGGGGGGGGGGGCAGCACGCAGTGTCTCCTCACCCTCCCGGACAACAGGACAAACGAACAGACAGGGCAGGCGAGAGAGGAAGAATCCAAAATAGCTGCAGGTGTGAAAGCAGAAGCGATGCGGTCCAGCCGGCTGCTGAGAGCAGGCACCCCGCCTCCCCGCGGGCCAGAACGGGGGGCAGCGGCGACGGGGCAAAGGGACATGGGAAGAAGCCCGAGGTAGGACGTGTGGAGTCCAGCCCCCAGTGTGCTTGCTGGGCCACAACACCCAGCCCAGACACGACTCCAGCCGCTCCCGGAGCCGACGCTGCAGCTCACAGGCCCCGAGCAGTGGCGGGCAAAGAGGCAGAGGGGCAAGCGGGCCGTGCCATCCTAGGTGGCAGCGTGGGCGGTCTCGAAGAACACGGCCCCCGGGGCTCGGACCCCCTCTCCGGCCTCACCTCCCAGCGGGGGCAGGCTGGGGAGGGTCAAAGGGACCACTGCCAGTGGGGGGGGGAGCAAAAGACAAGAGAACGCCTTTCCGCTTACAGTCAGATACAAGGTACATCTGAAAGTGTATCAAAGTGACAGTATGTCTCAGTGAGGGAAAAACATTAAGGGGTGGATTACCCACGTGCTACATTCTAAAACATTACATTAAAAAAAACCCACCTGCCTTTCAAAGTAGGGTAAAACGCTTCTCGCATTCTTTGAGGTGTAATTAGGCATATTTGCTGATAGATAAACACAGAAGTGTTGGTTTGATCTTGGAGCAAAAGTGTGGCAAATGCTTCCATAAAACAGAGAGAAGTTTTAATATTTAAAGCAGATTTTGAGGAAGCAAATGTGCTTTCATCTCTCTGGAAGAGCTGGTGTAAATATTTTGTTTCAAAAATGACATTCTCAGGAGCGAGCATTTGTGAATGAAGTAATTGAAAACAATTACACTTGCTTTTTATCCAGTCCTATTAAGGCCTACTTGCCTTTGAAGCAGACATGATAGCTACCTTTCCAGAAATGTGGTAGGGAAGGGAGGCAGGAAGATACATGCCATTTTATAACCTTGGACCATGTCCCAGGTTTTATAATTTTACAACAGGGGAAATCATTCTTTGGAAATCAACAAGTATTGACAAAAGCATGAGACCATTCTTAAGGTTAAAAAAAAAAACACATGGCCTCATTTAGTAAGGACAGGGAAGGCTCTTAGAAATAGTCATCAAGGGGCGCCTGGGTGGCTCAGTTGGTTAAGCGACTGCCTTCGGCTCAGGTCATGATCCTGGAGTCCCGGGATCGAGTCCCGCATCGGGCTCCCTGCTCAGCAGGGAGTTGCTTCTCCCTCTGACCCTCCCCACCCCATGCTCGCTCTCTCTCATTCTCTCTCTCAAATAAATAAATAAAATCTTTTTAAAAAAAAAAAAGAAATAGTCATCATCCCTTTTCAGCCTTGTCACTTACCTCCCATCGCCTGTCACAGAGTCACAAATTTTAGAACTTTAAGGAACTTTCAAGGTCCCTTAGTCCAGTGATTTTTACATTATTATTGTTTTAAGCAGGAAAACTTTTCATCAAAAGCAGAGATTTAGGATATAAATCTGGGCTGGCCGTGCGATGGCTCTGGCTGAGACTGTAACTGGGTGTGTGTGTTGTGGGGGGGTTCCAGAGCCACACCTCTGAGGCTCAGAGGCCCCACAGGGAACTCAGGGGGACCAGGGCACCCAATGACAAAGGTCTTGAGGTCCAGGGTGAGGCTGATTCACAGAGCTAAATGAACCGAAGCCCCTCCCGTACGCTGCACGGCCTAGCCATTCCGACAGGGCCTGCTCAAGAACCAGGGAGCAGCGCCGAGAGCTAAGACCCGCCGCTCCCAGCCCGGCTCCGGACAGCTACCTCGTTCGTACAGCCTGACCGCTTCCATGAGGTATGGCACCAGGAGACGGTTCACAATAAACCCCGGGGTGTCCTGTTGTAGGAGAGAAAAATAAATGGCAAGTGAATTTTCACTGAACTTTATCTTCTGCGGAGTCACTAGACTGCCCCTTCTCACTCTGCGTCTCATTACCCACACTTACCAAGCTTGGCATTTTCAAGATTTCTTTTGAAGTACCAGCACAGCCCTACTTCTGTGGTATGTGACAATTTACCCAACAATTGTACTACTTAAAAAAAAAATCAAATCAAATCAAACCTAGATGCCCCCACTGCAGGAATCCTGAAATAAAGGCAGATCGAGACAGGTCACTGGAAAGAACGCAACTTTGAGGGCAGGCCGTCTGGGCTCAGATTCTAATAGTTTCTGACACTGGGACATTCTGAAATCAGGTTCATCATTGGTGAATCAGAGTAACAATTTCCAGAAGTTGTGACGATCACTCAGAAAACACCCAACACGATGCGCACAAGGCCCGATACTCAAATGGTAGCCCCTTTACTCCTCTCCTCGCCGGCATCCCTCTCAGGAATCTGGAAAAAGTACGCTCCACCTTGAACAAGCTTCACAGAAGCGCCACTGCCTGGGCTCCCCGGAACCATCTCTGGGCTACCCGGGATGTTCTCACGCTCCAGTGTGCAGTGCAGGGCGGTCCAACTGGGTAAGGTGCCAGGGCAGACAAGCCCCTGCACCTCGCATGACCCCCCTGTACCGCACACCCCTTTCATCAATTTCCTCCTCGTTACTACACTTAATCGTCTCTCCTGGAAGCCTCCTGTGGGATTTGGATTCTGCTGACTGGTCTCTCTGGGGGAATTTGTGGGGCAGGTTGGGTTGGTAATTTTGGGGTATTATTTATGTGAAACCAATTTTCACTAAGTAAATGGTGTAAATTTTAACAAAAGGCTGTGATGTTCCTGCAGACACAACTCCTCACTCTTACCCTGGGCCCTGTGTTCTCTTTCTAGCACACACTAGGCCCTCCATAAACGTACAAATGAAAAAGCTGGCCTGCCCCCTGCATTACTCTTACAGCTAACCTCACTGCACGCTGTGTAAACTAGGCAATAAAGCCACAGGATCTGGACCTTCTTTAAGACTCTGGACAAAGAGAAACCAAGTCCTACTCCTAGCTCCATGGGAACACAGAGATGAGCAAAACAGCTTTAACAGCTTAACCACAACTGTATTAATGAAATGATGCTGACTTGGTATCTAGGGCAAAAGTGCTTTCAACCTCAAAAAGTTTATCGCAGAAACTCAGGACAGGGTAGATGAAGCATACATACATAAGGTTAGAAGTCAGAAAGTACTCTGGGGACAATGTTTGCTCCAATCAGAGTATGTGGAGTTTTATACAGTGGATATTATCCACAGAGCTCAATAACGAAAAAGTGCTAAAACTCACAAAATATTCAAACTCACTAGTAATCAGAGAAGTACTCATTAGAATAAAATAGCATTTTGCCAATAAGATTAGTGTCAAAAGGGTTTTTCCCCATTATGCTAATATTCAATGCCACTGATGAGTCAGAGACGCATACACTCTCACGATATTGGTATGTAAATTGTAATGTAAAGAAACATAATCCCTTAATAAAGCAGTTTAATTTTATGTAATCGTATACCTTACATTTTTACACTCATTTGTTTATTAAATATATTTTATTTACTGTACTACGTGCCAAGCACTGTTCTATGTACTTTACAAATATTAATCCATTTACTCCTTATGATAACCCTGTGAGATCAGCACTATTATTACCTTTACAGGGGAGAGAGGGCACTGAGGCCCAGATAGGTTAAGTAACTTGCCCAAGATCACACAGCTAACAAGTGCCAGAGCCAGGATGTGATCCCAGTCACGCTGGCTCCAGAGTCCACGGTCTCACCCTTTTTATACCACGCTCTCCTCAAGAAGTCTCACTATGAAGAAAGACACGTTCCGGGTGCATTAATGTCATCTGCTGTGTTGCGTGTTGGCCCACTGCGATCCTGCAGGCCAAATCCAGCCCCGGCCTGCTTCTGTACCGTTCCACCACCATGGCACAGCCACGGACCCCGCGTGTACCGTCTAGGCTGCACACTGCCCCCAACAGCAGAGCCGAGTAGTTAGAGCAGAGACCATATACCCGAAAATGTTGACTATCTGGCCCTCTACAGGAAAGCGTGCTGACCCTTGTTCTTTGTGGTTGCCTTCCATTGTCTGGATGCTTCATCGACAGCCTGAATAACTAACCCAGAGAGCTTGAAGGTATCACCCAGGAAAGAGTTCTGAAATGATGTAGCAAGGCAGTTTTATGAGATCAGGGAGTTCCCATTCCTGCATCTGCTGAGGCCACTCCAGTGGAAGAAGGGGTCCTCACTCTCTATGAATGAATGATTATGCTGCTGAAGACAATCACTGCCCGTCCCTGCATTTCCACTTTCTTATCTAGCTTTCGATTCACTACACACTGATGCTCTTTCTCGTACCATTACTACTTTCTGCCACGAACAAAGCATAACCCAGTGAGAGAGTGCAACGTCTGGTTATCAATGTGACTTTTTAAAAAATCCAATTTAAAACCACTAAACAAAACAAAGAAAGAATGAGTGCTAAAACATGAGACTCCCTGACACCGCTACCCTCCTGGACCGGGGGGACAGGCACGTGAGTCTGCTCTCTCAAGCTACGGGGGCCATGCCGACAGATGACTTATTCAGAGGATTCATGAACAACAGGCCTTTCCACAGGTTACTACAATACTGTGAGTTCAAGGTGGAGAATATTTTAGAAAGCAAAAGCATTCTGTAAGAAGAACCACAACGATAGAAAAGATTACGGTCAAAAAGGTAGATGCACACTTACAAAAATTTGTAACGGTACAGCTCAACTGCCCGTTTGGAAAACTGCCAAGTCATGCAGAGGAGCAGTCCTGAGTCTTGGGAGGACTCACGAGGAGCTACGGCCAGCGGAGACGGGAGGAGAGCGCCACCGCAGCTGAGAGCAGCTGGGGGCATTTCCCATATACTAACGGAGTCTGGCAAGGAGGGAAGGCGGGAGGCATGCTGCCCACTGGGCCTTGCTTCTTAGTGGAAAAACAAGACACAAAAGCACAATGCCACACTCCCTGAGAAACAGCTTCATTAATCCCACCTGGGGAAGTGGGCGCTTCCTCTCTCTCATCATTTCCCTGGCCACCTGTCGTGCGATGGTTTTCAGCTCGGGACGCACGTGTCTACCACGCTGTCATGGACACGCAGGCTCCTGGGCTCCCCCAGGCCCAGCAGAGGCTAAAGCCAATGGGGTCATAAAAACCATTTATGGAAACACAGCAGTCCAACAACAGACAAAAGCCAAGACCCGGGGAGAAGTTTTCTACTCAGCTGAAGCTCTGGCTCTCTTCAGATCTCAAAGGGTCCACCCGATAGCCTTGGGCAAGGGTTAGGGTCTGGCTCCCCTGCTGGCAAACTAGAAAAGAGGCCCAGCGTGCTCTTCCCAGCCCCCAGACAGGCCTGAGGTGAGAGTGCCCCATCTCTCACATCTTTCTATAGAAGAATTCTACCCCAAATAAGTCAGTTCTAAGGAAAACCCCCTTCCCAAGGTACCTATACTCTACCTTACAAGAAACAGGATGCTTTCCCAGGGCTTTGGTGAAGTCTATCAGAGATTCATAAGTCTTTTGGCTGGTCATTGGTGTTTTAATGACCTGGAAATGCAAAGCAGAGAATTATGACCAGAGAGTCAGCAAACAAGTGCAACAGAACGATTCAAGAAAACACTGATGTAAAGTGTCTACACAGAAGGTGGCAAAAATAGTTTTAGTTCCAGAATACAAGGATCTCAAGCCAGAAACAAAGAGTTTACCAAAATGTCCACTTTAAGACAGTGAAGTACTAGGGGTGCCTGGGTGGCTCAGTGGGTTAAGCATCTGCCTTCGGCTCAGGTCATGATCCCGGGGTCCTGGTATGGAATCCCGCATCGGGCTCTCTGTTCAGCAGGAAGCCTGCTTCTCCCCCTCCCTTTGCCCCTGCTCATGTGCTTTCTCTCACTCACTCTCTAATAAATAAATAAAATCTTTAAAAAAAAAAGACAATAAGGTACTACAGAATGTACAAAATCAAGGCTTAAAATATAAATGTGTATGTGTGTAGAACAGTTTTACAGATTTTCTTCCCGAGACAGACGTGGGTTCGAATGCCCATCACACCACTTACTGGCTCTGTGACCCTGGGCATGTTTCTTGAAATTGAAATGACACTGAATTCACTCTCCCCACCTCAAGCAGCTGAGGTGAGGTGACAACAGATTAGATCAGGAGGTAAAGCATCAAATGCAGCTGCTGGGAGGTATAAAGTGCTCAGGAAATGCTGGCTTTTGTTACCGTGTTACTTGCTACCGTTAATTTACTTCAGGGAGGTAACTGGATGTCTACTGAGTACGACAACGGCCCTTCAAGCGCTCTGCCTGGAGAACCATCTTCTCTTAGTCTAGAGGAGGAAAACAGCAATCTGCCCAAGTCACAGGTCTCTTGGACACTGAGAAGAGTATCCCCCGGTACTCCACCCTCTCCCACGCAGATGCCCCTAAGCCCACCGACTCCTTCGCATCAGAACAGGCTCATCCCATGGAGGAAGGTTTTCATTTCCAGCACACAGGGGCCCCAGGCTGGGCTTACCACCTGCTGGGCACCTGGGGAAGACTCCTGGCAGCCCCCTGGACCCACGAGGTGCAAGCAAGCAAGCAAGCAAGCAAGCAAGGGCCCAGCTGCTGCCCCGCTCCCAGAGGCCCGCTGCCACTCCAGAAGGTCACACCAAGCACGTCGCCTGGCAGTTAGCCCATAGGACACAGAGACCTCACCTGTCAGGAACTAGATTTTGGCAAATGGAGAGAGACCCAGATGAATTTAAACTTAAATATATATATAATTTAAAAGCCAGTTAAGAACTTCAATGAGGGTCAAAGCAAACAGGCTTGGCTTCTACATCAGACCCTTTATATGAGGTGAGACAACTCAGTCAACCCCCGTGCCTCACCCCTCTACTGTGAAATGCGGATAATGATACTTGCCACATCCTCCATCTTGCAAGAGGGCTGTGTGGCTTAATGAGCTAGTGTCTGTGCAGGATGAAAGGTGCTATATAAATGAAGAGAATGATCATCATCCGTCTTTTAATGTGATCGCAGTTTGGGGGGTGGTGGTATGTTATGACACTAAGGGAAGTGAATGAGTAGCACAGACAGAAGCACCAGGAAGATGCAGATGAGGAATGGGATGCGATGGACCAGAAACTGCTCTGCAAACCCCATAAATCAAACAGCAATCCAAGAGTTATTCAAAAGAAAGTGTGAAAAGGTCTCCAGCAGAACCCCAAAGATTGGACTAGGACAAAGGTTGCTAATTACAGAGTTTCAAATATAATTTGTTGATTTAAAGGAGCCAATAGTGATGATTTTTTAACAGGAGAATGCCTATTTATTCATCCATTCAACAAACAGCAACGTGCTACAGACATTCTGTTTATAGCTCCCATACAGTCTGAGATAAGTACATACACACGTATGTGGGCGGCCCGTCCCGAATAAAGGAGAACTGCTCAACTTAAGATACGGTTCACTTTCGTGCTCACCAGCGACACATATGTGAACACCCAAGAATAAAAACTGAGTAAAGAGCACTTTTAGAGAACATTTTCTAGAAAATGGTAACATTTGCTAAGCATTAACTGTTATCAACACACCACCTTCTCAAAGACATAGACCAACACTATTACATAAAAGCAGTAAAAAACAGCATTAGAGTTTGAAGTGAATGTATACAACGTGTCTTTATCTCCAAACACACGTACCTGACACAGTAACTAAGGAAAGTGATTAGTCCCTAAGCACTGAAATGTTGAAAATCCATCCCGCTTCTTTGCTCTTCTCTGCGTAAGGATAAATGCAGTTTCTTTCATTCCCCCCCACCCCTCCCCTTTATTCCTCAACTTCCTCAAAACATTCTTAGGAAGTGAGAGTACATTGCAAGAAGCTGAGGAGCAGTGTTAGCAGACCAGATAAATTCCTATCGCAGGTCAGAGCTGTCTTTGAGAGAAAACTAAGGAAATAGTCACCATTAAACTAGAGGCAAATGCTTATGCGGGGGGCGGTAAGGGGGTAAGGGCATGAGAGAGGAAGGACAGAAAGGGCTGACAGAAGGCACCAGTGGAGAAAGCAAAGCCCGAGACTCTCCCAAGGAGCCCCGGCCAACCCCCGGAGGTCGGCCTGGCCCCGCGTCCCCCACACTTCGCACAGCAATAACTCAACCCCACAACAAATGCTACTTTAACAGCGGCTGTTCCTCAGACCCTGTCATTAGCCCCCTGTAAAAGGCGAGTTGCCACATTCCAGGTGCAAACTGTCTATTGTGACTCATCTCCCTGTACCCAAGTCTCCAAGCAAGCAAGCAAGCGGAAGCGACCCAAACAGGATCACTGGGGGCCCCGCTCCCCTCCGTCTCAGAGGTCTGCACTCAGGAGGTTCAGGCTACAGGGAGCTGCTTTAATAGCTGGGATCAAAATACACGGGTGATGCGACGGTGGACAAGGGGGTACGGTGGCTCCTGTGTAAGAGCAGGCTGATAAAATCCCACTTACAGCCTGGGGCACGCTGACCTCACCGAGGCCGTATTGGCACGTGTGGCTCTGGCGTCTCCGGTCTCAGCGAGCCAGGCGTCTGCAGTGCTGTCTTCCCAGTCAGACGCTCTCCCTACACCACCCGCCCCATATGGCACAACTAAGTGAATGACACTGCACAGAGTTAGCAGCCCTCCTGGTCATCACTGGTCAGACCACTGGGCTGCGAAGAAACAAAGCACAGAGGCCTCCCTAGATATCAGGGGCTCTTTCTTCTCCTGGCTCCAGAAGGACAGTGTGGCCCGAGAAACCTTCCACCCTCCCGTTAAAAGCCGCCCAGCGCCCCCACCCCCCCCATGGCAGAAGGGGCATGAGTCAGAGAGCAGGACTGGCAGAGCTGGCCGGGCAAGCAGACACACATGAGCACACGCCCACTGACCTCCACCAGCTTCATCAAGGGCACCGGGTTGAAGAAGTGGAGCCCGGCGAATCGGTCCTGTCTCATGGTGGCGTTGGCTATGTTTGTGATCTGCAGAGAGGAAGTGTTGCTGGCAAAGATCGTGTGTCTGTGAAGAGAAAGACGGTGGAGTATCAGGATGAGTCCCCTCTTTGGAAACAAACAGGATTACCCTCGATGCAATGCACAAGGCCACTGCCTACTACCCAGATCTGTTGTCCTGACCCCTGGAGGAAGTCAGGGAAGAGATCTTCACAAAGAAGCCGAAATCAAGTGACCAGTTTCATTTCAAGTTTGAATCTTTAAATTAGATAATTTAAACTTACCTGTTTCAAAGATGTATTTCATCTTTACCAATCTTTCATTTATTTTCAGGAGCCACACTTCTCTACTTATATTTGTTAATTTTCATGGTATGTGGGAGAAAACTGAGGTTAGGTAGCAGCCTCCGTCACAAAATGAAACCCTAAGTGAGCACAGACTAATGATGAAAAAGATACACCACAGACCCTCAAAGTCAACAAAAAACTGTAAAGATCTAAGATCTTTTCCCCTCAAGTGAAAAGCTTTAATCTTCCACTGAATGGGAATTAAAATGAAAACAGAAGAAAACCAACACAGTCCAAAAACAGTTTTAAGGTTGCATAGGTACATCTGGGGAAGGAAGGATACATGTACATCTATGATAAATGTAGTTCAAGGTATTCTGCTTATAAAATCTTAAGCAGGGGCGTGGGGCATCTGGGTGGCTCAGTCGGTTGAACGTCTGCCTTCGGCTCAGGTCATGATCCTGGAGTCCCGGGATCGAGTCCCACATCGGGCTCCCTGCTCAGCGGGGAGTCTGCTTCTCCCTCTGACCCTCCCCCCTCTCATGCTCTCTATCTCATTCTCTCTCTCAAATAAATAAATAAAATCTTTTTAAAAAAAAAGTAAATGAGAAAACTGCTGACTTTAAAAAAAAAAAAAAAAAAAAAAGGCAGGGGCGCCTGAGTGGCTCAGCTGGTTGAGCGTCTGACTCTTGATTTCAGCTCAGGTCATGACCTCAGGGTTGTGAGATTGAGCCCCGCATGGAGTTCAGATTCTCTCTCTCCCTCTGTCCCTTTCCCCCAGCCCCACTCACCCTCTAAACAAAAAAAAAAAAGAGGGGCGCCTGGGTGGCTCAGTCGTTAAGCATCTGCCTTCGGCTCAGGTCATGATCCCAGGGTCCTGGGATCGAGTCCCGCATCGGGCTCCCTGCTTAGCGGCGAGTCTGCTTCTCCATCTCCCACTCCCCCTGCTTGTGTTCCCCCTCTCGCTGTGTCTCTCTCTGTCAAATAAATAAATAAAATCTTAAAAAAAAAAAAAAATCTCCTAAAAAAAGCAGTACCATCTTTGTGTGTGTGTGTAAAATACTCATTTTTAAAAATCCATATTAACTTTATCCAAATTCAATTTTTAAAGACCACCACAAAGTGGGGTGCCAAAGGCATTCCTGGCAAATCTTTAAACAAAGACAAGCGAGACTTGGGCTGTCCTATAGCGCCACCTTGTGGGTACACATACATAAAACAGCCTAATGCTGAGGAGAACCATCATGGCCCGGTCAGTGCAGGAAGTGGAGTGATCCCTTACCGACCAGATGTGGGAGTTCTAGCCTCCCCAAAAGGCAATGCTACAATCTGCCTGAAATCAGGGCTGAGCGGGGGAGGAGGGTCGGGAGAAGACACATGAGCGTGGCTGACACAAGCGCCGTCGGGCTGCACGCCATGAAGCCCAGCAGCCGGGCCATGGCGCCCCAGCGCTGTGCTGGCCAGGGCTGCTACATGCACAATGTGGCACCGTTTTATAGGACAATGGAAGGGCGACTTGCCTGCAGACAGGAGAGATGTGGAGGCACACTGGAGAGCACATTTCGTTAAAGGGTGAAGTTACATCAGAGCCCAGTCCCGGGTGCCTCCAGTCCAAGGTGCTCCCAGCGAACATTTTACCAGCAGGGGAGAGATGCTTCTTGCTCACAGACCTCTACCTCCCCCTCTCCCAATCGGCTGGGCTGGCTCTGCTCCTGACAGCTCTCACACTGCCGTCTTTCTACACAAACACAATGTGCCAACATACTCAGCTTACAGGGCTGCCTTGTCTTCCACAGAGAAGTACACCCTCACGTTCTCCTTGGGACGCCGGACTCTCGGACGGTCTTTGGTTTTTCCCTCTCTGACACTCAGGGACCCAAAACACTACCATCCTCTTAGATGTACTAACAGAAAATCGACGGCACAAACATGATGATCCTTGGCCACACCCGCAAGCCTCAGTGCGGAGAGGACAAGAGGGGGTGGTGGGGACTGTGGTGGACGGGACTCAGCTGGGGCACTCTGTGGGCCATGGTCCCCCTCTTCATCTGCACTGCTTATAACTGCAGCCAGGGAAGTCGTGTTCTTTTCCAGGGCACATCAGGGGCGCCGCTGGGAACTTCACCACTAGAACACATTCCCCTCCCCTGTTACAGGGGTCGCTGCAGAACTTAACAGTCAAGGATATCTCACTCACTCTAACAGTCACGGACATCTCGCTACTTAAAAAAACAAGCCACAAAACTTAGTAGGGGTTCAATAATGGTGGTGATCTAAAGTGAAAACAAGAGTGCAGCGAAGGGCGGCTGACAGCCAGAAGCAAGCTCACATCCACAGTGTGCCCTTTCACGTGTCTCATCTGTGTGACTGGACCTAAGTGAAAGAGCCTAGCCCAGCGCCTGACACACAGGCGGCCCTCGGGAAACTGAGCCAAGTTAAACTAACATCCTAAACAACTCTGTGCAATTGGTACCGCTCCCTTTATTTTGCAGATTACTAGGGAAACTAGTCTTCAGAGAGTTAGAACTGGGAAGGTCTTGGAAATGACTTACTCCTAACCCCTCAGTCAAATTACAGATGATAAAAACTGAGGATCAGACAGGCTTCATGACTGTCCATGGACAGAGATGGAAGAGGTGGGGCCACCTGACCTTCCCCTAACAGTCCTTCCATTACTCACGCAGACATGAGAGGGCAGTCAGACCTGTCACTGTCACTGAGGAATGACCAACATTTCAATAAAGGCCAAACTACCCGGGGTAGTGGGGGCGTTATTATTTTAGAGGGCTCCCTGCTCACCTGGGAGCCAATACCTGTACCATAGAGTCTTCTGTTTCTGCAGGCCCTAAACGGCATAAAGACCAGGAGCACACTCATCAGCAGAGTGACACAGAGGTGACAGAGGGGCAGGGCTTCTCAGACACCAGGCCATACGGCTATGAGGGCTGACATTCCAGCAGGCTGGTATGTGAGTGTCCCTCTTCAGCCACTGCTCACTGGCTGAGAATTACTTCTGTCTTATAATCTTATTCTGACTTTCAATTCTAACCAGGAAGAGTGAAGTGTGGCTACAGAAGCCCCAAGGAGAGCAGAAATAAATCAGCCAGGTGTCACAATTGCCAAAAGCCGAAAGTCAAACACAAATGAAGGCTCCGGATTCTGAGAAAGGGAGCAGCCCGTGTGCAAAAGCTTGCTGACACTTGTTGGCACCACCGGTCCCGAGCCCCAGGCACCCATATGCCTGACCTGTGTGGGGCTGACTCTCCCCTCCCACCCTGTGCCAGGAAGCCTGGTAAGGACTCTCCAGTGCTCCTGAAATGCTCCCAAGTGTTGTGACTTAATCCAGATAAAGCTCAAAACAGGAAAGCCCAGGGAACTTTGTGTAGACAGGCACTCCCTTCAACTGCACCATTCTGTAGGTTCCATTCAAAAAAAGGGGACACACAAATGACTCTGAGGTTCCTCAGCAGATATCTGAGGATGTGCCCAAGCCTCTTCATCCTCTGGCCCGGGAGGGCCTGTGGCCCAGACACTCCAAGAGACACAGGACTGTCCCTGAAAGGACCCCCCACTTTACTGTGGGAAATCCCACCCTCCTTTGGGGACAATGATCAGATGAAGGCAGCCCAAGCCTCGGGAAGCAGACTGGGAGTAGGAGGATAGAGGACAGAGGAAACAGTGTCAGTCTTCTGGAAACAGCTTTGGGGTAGCAGAAAGAGAAGTGGGCTTGGTGTCAAAAGACTCCCTCCTGGGAGAAGAGCCCGAGCCCGGGGAGGGAGCCCTCAGACCCAACAAGAACGCCCAAGGGTCACGTACTCAGAGGCAAACTTGTCCAGCCTCTTGAAGAGCTCACTCTTCACCTTCAGATTCTCCACGATGGCCTCCACCACCAGGTCTGTGCTGTGGACTACAGACGCTGCATCCGTGCTGGTTGATATGCTGCTCAGGGTCTTCTCCACAAATTCATCACCCGCCTAACAGTGGAAGGAAGGGGAAGAGAGCATTCACTGGACCCACCGGAAAACGGTGTGTGGTCTGATGCTAAGGCAGAAGGAGAGAGGGGGGCGAGGAGAGGCGAACTTGCAACTCGAATGCGCCGGGGAATTCTAAGCACTAAAACTCCCTACACGTCTGCCTCTCAGGACCTTCCAGACACCAGGGCGAGAATCAGCTTGGGAACATGCCAACTGCTGGTCAGCGATCACTGTGGCGTCCGGGCCGTAACCCTTCACACTGTTCGTCAGCTCCGCTCAGCTACCACGCGGTCCTCTTGCAGCACCTGTCCGGCCGGCTCACTCTCTGTTCTCACTGTGAACACACTGCCACACGCTGTGGCAGGAGACAGGTCCTGAAATAGGACCTTCCGGAATCGAGGACAAGCTCAGCTCAGCACCACTCGTTAGTCCGAGAGGTGGTGCTGACTGTTCATCGCTAACCGGGGCAGAGGAGAGCTGAGTAAGGGCAAGAGAGGGCGAGCGTGGCCGACTTAGCAGTTGTTCTGCTAATCACCGCCCATCACAGGCTAGCTCCGGGGCTTGCAAAAACTCGCCAGACATAGCCTCTGCTGCGAAGGGCTCGCAGTCCCACCTTTGTCTCATCTGTGACTCCAGGAATCCACAAACAGGCCTCAGTTAGGGCCGAAGACAGCACCTCTATCAACTGCCATTTTTATCTCAAGATGGACTCTGTCCCCGGGGCATCAAAATGGTCACTGTCAGCAAAGGCATCGAAAAGCACTGCAGAATAAAACAACTCTCAGAGCTGTTCCACAGAAATATACTCTGAGGGCAGAGGTGATTTTCAATTTTCTATTGGCTGCAGTATAAAAAGTGAACAGGTAAAGTTAATTTTGTTTAACCCAATCCATCTAAGGTATTATCATCTCAACATGTAATCAATACAAAAAGCACTGAGATGTTTTATATTCTTTTCTCCTGGTAAGTCTTTCAATTCCGGGGTCTGTCCCACACCTGTGACCAGCGGCCGCCGTGCTGGTCAGTGCGGGCCAGGCGCGTCCCTCCTCTACACACACGCCGGGCAGAGATGAGCAACGCCAAGAGAAGAGGCTCCTGAGGACTCACTCATCAGGAGCTGTGCATGTTGAGCACAAGCACCTTGTGTGTTTGTTTTAAACCCTCTGAGTGGGGCCCAGAGCCTGTGCCCAAAGGGGCAGAAGTTTGCAGAGTAAACATATGAAAAATGCAGATTACCTGGGTTCAGACTCACTCTGTCCTCGACTCCAACCTCCAGCCCAGGGCTCTTAAAATCCCACCTGCCTGGACCCTCTTCACAACATGCCCTATCTCAGGTCCCCCTGTCATGAAGAATATGGACAGGTGACAGAGATTTTAATCTGCCTGTGACATTTCGTGTCTGGATTTCTTCAGGGAGAGGGTAAAAATTAACTCTACTCCTGCCCCTCTGATTTTTGAAAGGTGACTACATATTAAGAAAATGCAAACCAAAACCACAGCAAGATACCACTTCATACCTCCTATGATGGCTATGATTAAAAAAATGGAAAACAAGTGTTGGCCAGGATGTGGAGAAACTGGAACCTTCATACACTGCTTGTAGGAATGTAAAATGGTTTAGCCACTATGGAAAATAGTTTGGTGGTTCCTCAAAAAGCCAAATACAAGACTGTCATATGACCTAGCAATTCTACTTCGAGTACATACGTGAAAGAACTGAAAAAGGACCTGGGCAGACAGTATATCAATGTTCAGTGCAGCATTATTCACAATGACCAAGAGGTGAGAACCACCCAAGTGTCACTGACAGACGAATGGCTAAACAAAATGTAGTCTATACACACAATGGAATATTATTCAATCAGGAAAAAGAATGAGGTTCTGACATACGCTACAACCCGGATGAACCTTGGATGGAGACAGTACCACATGAAATTCTTTAGTCACAAAAGGACAAATATCCTGATTCCAGTTATATGAGGTCCCTAGAAGAGGCAAATTCAGAGAGACAGAAAGTAGATTCGAGGTTACCAAGGGTTGGGAAAAAGAGAGAATGAGGCGTTATTGCTTAATGGGTATAGAGTTTCTCTTTGGGAAGATGAAAATGTTTTGTAAAGAGTGGTTATGGTGGGACGCCTGGGTGGCTCAGTCGTTAAAGCGTCTGCCTTTGCCTCAGGTCATGATCTTGGGGTCCTGGGATGCAGGCCTGCATCGGGCTCCCTGCTCCCCGGGGAGTCTGCTTCTCCCTCTCCTGCTCCCCCTGCTTGTGCTCTCTCTCTCTGACAAATAAATAAAATCTTTAAAAAAAACAGTGGTGGGGCGCCTGGGTGGCTCAGTTGGTTAGGCGACTGCCTTCGGCTCAGGTCATGATCCCGGAGTCCCGGGATCAAGTCCCACATCGGGCTCCCTCCTCGGCAGGGAGCCTGCTTCTCCCTCTGACCCTCCTCCCTCTCATGCTGTCTCTCATTCTCTCTGTCTCAAATAAATAAATAAAATCTTTAAAAAAAAAAAAAAGTGGTGATGACTGCACAATAGCATCAACGTAATTAGTCACCAAATTGTACCCTTAAAAACAATGAAAATGGCAAATTTTACATTACATATATTTTACAACACAAAATTTCAAAACAGAAGAGCCATACTACTATAGATACCCGAGGTGACCAACACAACAAAAGCCCCCCTTGCCCTCTTCTCTGCCCGTATATGAAGTGAAATTCCATCCAAGCCCCAAGGAGATCAATCTTTACGCAACTTTAAGAAGGTGGCAAAGGTAAGCAAAAATTCACTTGAGTGATTTCTGCAGTATTTCTAATTAAACGTGAAGTTCCAATGAGAAAGGGTCAGTAAACCAGAGCTGCCGGCCTTCTAGGAGTTCCTCGAGCTCTCCTACCCCCTCTGCTGCTGGGAGTGAGAACGACACTCTGTATTTCCCTCTCCCATAATTACATTATAAATGCGCTAAGGTATGACCCAAGCAATCAAAATTTTCTATCTAAATGCAATGTTTATTATATCATTCTCTTTTTAACTCGCAAATACCAAAATTCTCTTCCTGTTTCGCTCTCTTCCATCCATATGACAAAACAGGTGTTCTTCGATCCCAAATTCTCCATGGACAGAATGAGTTCACTACCTGCAGAAACCTTCTCCCCTACCTCAAAACCTACCCAACAATATGGTTGTTTACTTCTCCTGTTTTGTACGCAGTCCTCACAGAATGTTCAGTGATTATGTCATTCATGTTGGTCTAAAGTTATGGGAAAATGAGCTTTACTCAACAAACCGAAAAAGCAAGCAAAGACCACCAAATGTGTTATGTTCAGAGGATGGGTCTTGAGGTCATGTGAAACAAAAAATTACCTTGGGGTTTTCTGCAAACTTCTTCTTGGCCACTTTCCTAAGGCTTTCCTCAATCCCCTTTTTAGATTTTGCCAGTATGTCCTCTGTCTGGTCCACCAACACTACTGTGTGGCCAGTTGTTCCAGCAACCTAGGGCAAAGAAAGAAAGAAAGGAAACATAAAAGTTAAAAAAAAAACTAGTAGAGTTTCATATTCCGTATGAACTCTGCCACCATTCTCTTCCAAATACCAAGTAAACATCATAATAAGGCAACCTCGACTAAACACACACTTCTTGCCAGGCACACACGGACGACGAATTCTCAGAAACACCTTACAAGGTTAAGAAGTATGTGCACCATCACACGACAGGTAGACAGCGGAGCTGGAATGTGAATCAAGGCTCTGAAAGCCACACCAGAACTGCTTCCCAACTGTCCCACAAGGGAGCCACCAGCCACATGTGACTACTTAAATAAACTAAAATTAAATAAAATGAAAAAATCAGTTCCTCAGTTGCACTAGCTATATTCCAAGTGCTCAACAGCCCATTCACAGAGCATTTACTCCCCACCCACCATCTTTTTTCCTCAAAATTGGAGCATCCTGTGCAGCTTGACTGCTTAGCTCAACTCTTCTGTAGTCCTTAAATCAGCAACAGGTAAGACTTTCATAATGGTGCCAAAAAGATTCCAAGGGCCGGGACACCTGGGGGCTCAGTCGGTTAGGTGTTGGACTCCTGGTTTTGGGCCAAGTCATGATCTCAGGGTCGTGAGATCGAGCCCAGTGTAGGGCTTCACGTGGAGTCTGCCTGAGATTCTCTCTCTCTCCCTCTGCCCCTCCCCCCACTCATGCGCATGCTTGTTCTCGCTCGCTCTCTCAAATAAATTAATTTAAAAAAAAAAAAGATCCCAAGGACTATTTAGTGACATGGCTCCCATGAAAGCAGGTCTCTGGTGACCAGCCAATTAGGAGGGCAGTTCCCCATCCCGCCTTGGCTAAAATTCAGAGGGTATACATAGTGCCGCTGCCCCAAAGTTCACCTGGAGCCAGCTCGGTTTAGCCACATTCAGTGACAAGCCAATCCCTTTTTCATCACGATTTGCCAATAGCTTTTACAAGGACTGTGGAACAGGCAGTGTGGCTAAAAGTAGGTCACCAGGTCACATTCAGGTAGGCACTGTACTCAGTTCAAGCCGCACACAAGAGGACATGCGGCCTACCACAAACACAAGTGATCCAGGATGCCAGCACGACTGAGATGCCCCTCGGGGTCTGAGAAGGCCCCCGCAGAACCACCGCTCTGGAAACATCTGTGGATCAACCGTGTAGGAGAGGGAAAGCTTAGCTGAAGTGAACCTGCCCGGAGAGGACAGTAAGAAACCGTTCTAACCCACCGTCGTGATGCAAGGCTGTTGAAAGTGGGCGACTCAGATTCCAAACTGAAAACCGGACAGGAAAAGTAACACAAGAGCAAAACTCAAAGGCAAAGAGGTCCAAATCCCTGAGCCAAGATTTCCAAAGAACACTTACAAAAAATGGTAAGACGGGTTTGAAATGGAAGTTAAGTACGAGAGCACCTATGGCTTCTCCCTGAGCAATCTTCCTAGCGAGGCTGCAAGTCTGGGCCTGTGGGCCTGTGGGCCTGTGGGCAGAGCCTGCCTGGGGACCAGGACAGGAAGGAAGGTCTGCTCCGGCCGGCTGGGTAACGGCCGTAACGAGAGTTATCCTGCCAAAAGGACAGAGGCGGTGAACTTGCCCTGTTGGCAGAAACGCAGGCTGCAGGCAGGCAGCGCGGCCCACGTAAAACACCCACCCACCCAGAGCAGGCTGTCTCCCCGAGGAGCAACAGACCGAGGCCCAGCTGGCCAACGCCTCCAGCACATGACACGAGCTGGCCCCCTCACGCATTCCGAGTAAAAGCAGCACGAGCACGTTTAGAAACCGTGCGCGGAAGGCGACACAGCAGGCCCGAGACTGTTATCTTTAGAAAGGCCCTTGGCTGGGCCCCGGAAACTCAGACTGGGAGAGAGTTCCCATCCTTCCCCTGAGAGGAATGGCTCGCTGTGCCTAAACCACTCACGCGCTGTGGTCTCTGCTGCACACCTGCTTTCCCTCCGGGGCTCAGGAACTGGGGAGTGGGCCAGGCAGAGGGTACCCGTGTGACCAGCCCCAATAAAAACCCAGGGCCCTGGGTCTCCGGTGAGCGTCCCTGGTAAGACACTCCACAGGTTCCATCACAACTTGTAGCTGGAGGCGCTGCGTGTGTCCTGTGTGACTGCACAGGGAGAAGACTCTGGAAGCGCCTGACTCTCCTCCAGACTTTGCCCCTTGCACCTTTCCCTCTGCTGTTTTTGTTTTGTATCCTTTTGCTGAACTAAACTGTAGCCATGAGTATCATTATATGCTGGGTCCCGTGACTAAATCACCAACCCTGGAGGGGGCGGGGGGATTTGGTGGATAATCCTGACACAGAAACTAAGAAAACAAATCTCAAATTCAGATGCAGTTTAGCTGAAATCAAAATTATTTTGAGGCGGGGTCGCCTGGGTGGCTCAGTGGTTAAGCGTCTGCCTTTGGCTCCGGTCCTGTGCTCGGCAGGACGCCTGCTTCTCCCTCTCCCACTCCCCCTGCTTCTGTTCCCTCTCTCGCTGTCTCTCTCTGTCGAATAAATAAATAAAATCCTTAAATAAATAAATAAATAAAAATTACTTTGAGGCAGGCACCCCTGGGGAGCAACAGCTGAAGGGAGGTGTGACTGATGACCACTGATGGGGCACCTTGCCTGCAAGGTAGGGGCGAGCAGAGGTGCTAGCTTTAGGGACCTTCCGTTTTTGTTCTGGCTCCTCTGAGAGGCCCTGTGGAATGACACAAGTGATTTTCATTTTGTCCCTCTTAACCTCTGACCTAGATTATCCTCTAGGACTCCCCAGATCTCTACCTGACTAGGTCCCCATCCACTTTCCCCTCTACCTCTAGCAGGCATCGCTCGGATTTTTTTGCTCCTCGAGGAGTTGGAGAAGACAATTCAAGTACATTTGGCACAAGAGAATACCAAAGCTGAAGGGAACAGAGATAAAGAAAGAAAATGAGGGCAGTGTCCTTTTGCTTAGGGACTTTGTAATCACACTGAGAACACCGAGGGGGAGAAAACTAAGTATATAAGGCTCCATATGTGGGAAGTCAAATAAAATAAAAACTGCCATCGTGAAGAATCCTGTCAGGCAGCTGAACTCAGAAGGCTGGTTGCAAGGAGGACATCTAGAATGGGCCAACTTCCCAAGGAATAAAGGATTAATAACCATAAAGAAGTGAGGGGTGGGGGACAAATAAGGGGTGATTTCACACCTTTTCTCTAGAAACCCACTTTCAAAGGTATTATAGTCATGTTTGATTATGATAGTCATGGGGCATTTTAGTTACATAACAGATAAGCCACAAGGCTTTCCTTAGACAGCTGACCCCCCCCACTCTGAAAATCCACATACAACTTTTGACTCCCCCAAAACTTAACTATTAATAGCCTACTGTTGACCACAGGCCTTACCAATAACAATCAATTCACACATACTTTGCATGCTTCATGTATTATATACTGTATTCTTACAATAAAGCAAGCTAAAGAAGATGTTAAGAAAATCATAAGGAAAATATATTTACAATACTGTAAAAAAACAGGGGCACCTGGCTCAGTCAGTTAAGTGTCCGACTCTTGATTTCAGCTCAGATCATGATCTCAGGGTCGTGGGGTCGAGCCCCACGTCAGGCTCTGTGCTCAGCGTGGAGTCTGTTGGAGATGCTCTCTCTCTCCCTCTGCCCCTGCCCCTGCTTACTCTCTCTCTCTCTCAATAAATAAAATCTTTAAAAAAAAAAAAAATACCTTAAAAAAATCCATGACTAAGTGGGTCCCCACAGTTCAAACCCATGCTGTTCAAGGATCAACTATAACTGCTTTTTTTAAACTGTAAGCAGAACCAAACCTAGAGGGAAAGTGCCCCGAAATAGTCAAGTAAAGCAGAGGCACATGCATTACAAAAACACTAAAATTCAACCAGGAAAAACCATGGCCAGAAAAGCGTTTACAGCCTTCATGCTAACCTTCTTCCCTTAATCAAAAGTCCTCTGATAAACTCCCCCAGCCACTCCCTGCCCCCCTTGCAAGAAGACACTGGGCAATTCGGTCCCTGCCTTGCTTCATCCGAGTTTCTGGCTGAGCACACTGGAGACAACACGTGTGTAGACACTGGCCAGAAACAGCTACCAAAACAAGGCTCTCCAGACAACGTTACAGGAGAGCAAAGTGCGCATGTCAAATGACCATGTCAAAGTGACTGAGTGTGTAACATTTAGTTTCCCTCTCACCCAGAAGATGCAAGACGTACAAGGAGGAGCCAAACCTGACAGAGAGGAAGAAGACGACAGATCTTTCCCAGTGTGTTACTGATCATATTCTTGCTCTGCAAAATTTCCCTGAGCTCCACCGTGCCTCACTGGTCTCAAAAAGCTCAATGTTCTCTCTTTTCCTCAAGTGACTAGAGCATTTTTTATGCTCCAAAATGCCTCTACTGGTATTTTTGGTCCAGTGAGAAGGCAACAATTGTATACTCTAAACAGTTATCCCCAGCAGTCTTGTTTTGTTTTTGTAAATACTTTCTACTTCAGCTTTTCTTTCTTTGATTAATTCATAAAACCTCAGGAAAATATGAAGGAAATCTTATGGTAGAGACACAGGTAGAAAGGACATTCCTATTTAAACCCAAAGTGGATATGGTTAGGTCTGAATAAAGAAAATACAGGCAAGAAAGAGAAAATTAAATTCTCCCTGAAATATTTTCCATTTTAGGAAGAAGCTCTTTAGTTCAGGTCACAATTTATTTGCATGGAAACAAATGACTATTACAACATAACCTCAGGTGATTTCAAGTTATAGCAACATTTTCATCCTACCCACCTGCAGAGAGCAAACCATCCTAGGGTTCTAGTTCCTTGCAATCATTTCTTGCAGAAATACCCTGGGGACCCCAGGTCAGCACTATCTTGAGGGCAACTTCAAGCCCTATTTCTCTCTGCAACTCTAAGTGCCTGGCCCACAGTCAGCACCCAATGTTTACTTGTTAAATAAATGAACAAAACACAATATTAGATACTTA